AGGACTTCCTGCCCCTACAAAGCAGCATCACATTAGCCTCCTACTTAATTAAATGGTGCTCAGCAAATTTGCCACCGGATATTCCAGGCCTGGAGCCAATCAGATTAGAGGGTCCCAAGCGTCCCTTCAAGAGGCCCTCTGGCACTAATGGACTTTGGCTTCCTGGGGCTCCTCTCATTCAGTTAAGACTCTGCTGTGGACCTGTCCAGCTGCTCCATTACTGCCGCAGACAGAGTGGATTAGAAGCCATTATCTGCCTTGCCCCTGGGAGGTAGAAATCTGGACTGTGGAACCTGCAGGCAGCCAGCTTTGGCTGGGGCAGCGTGGGACACAGAGCCAGGGCCGGCCTGAGCCTTTTTGGTGCCCTGGGCCCAGGCACGCAGCGCTGCCCCCGGGCACATGGCACGTGCGCAGGCCTGCCCCCCAGGGTGCCCCAGCCCATCCCTAGGGCACACAGCGCATGGAGAGCTGGGCTAGGCTCTGCTGGAAGAACTTTCTCGTAGACTCACTCACAGATGAGGGTTGGAAGAACCTAGTCCAGCCTTCTGCTCCATAAAGGTCCAGCCCCAACTACCTCATGGCCTTGCATTCCCTGTGTTTGTGTTAGGATACATTAACAGCAGGAGTGATGGTTGCTGGTGCAGCCAGGGTGCTCTGGGCATCAGTGCTTGTGGGTCCCTGTCCCTCTCCCTCCCTCATGAGCACAGCCCCCTGCCCCTTTCTACACTGCCCTCTGTTTGCCAAGCATGGCCTCCTGTTCCCCAGGCAGGCCCCTGGCACTGTCCCTCTCTGTGCCAGGTCCATCTGCTGCCAAGCTTGTGTTGGGTGAACCCACATTGGGTGGGGGTGGGACTTGAGCCCTCAACCTCTGGCGGCAGGTACTTTATCCACTGTGCTACGGGATAGAGCCCCCAACCTCCCTACCTTCAGGGCCCCCTTTGTTCCCAGGCTGCATGTTCCATCCCTCAGACAGCTGGGGTGGCTGTCCCCAGGGAGGCAGGGCTCAAGTGCTGTACCTCTGGCTCCAGCGGCAGGTACTTATCCACTGCACCACAGGAGACGGTCCTGAACCTCCCTCCCTTCTGACCTCCCTTATCCTTTCTTTGTTACCATGGTGAGTGCTCCCCCATGCCCCTGGGGACACCCACCACCAGCTTCCCGAGGGATGGAGCTGGCATCATGGGAACAAAGGACACAGAAGGGGGGCCCTAAAAGTAGAGAGGTTGGGGGTCTCCTCCAGTGGTGCAGGGCATAACATACCTACCTGCAGAACCAGAAGCACAGGGGTCAAGCCCCCCCCCCCAACACAAGCTTAGCAATGGATGGACCTGGCACCCTTGGGACATAGGACAGATATGGGGGGGGCTCTGAAGGCCAGAAGGTTGGGGGACTCTTCCAGGGGCACAGTGGATAAGGTGCCTGCCTCCCACAGCCCATCTGGAAGGCCTCCACACCACACTGCCCCCAGGCACAGTCTCTGCCTGCACCATTCTCCCCACCAGTGGCACAAGTACCCTTCCCCTGTGGGGTACCCAAGAGAAGCCTGAGGAGTATGTCAACACAATGGCAATTTGGAGAAAACTGAACTTTTGCTGTAAGTTTTACAGCACTTTATTGTTTTTGTACTTTTGACACCCAGAAATGTCATCACCCAGCCAGCTCCAATTAAGTTGCTTAAATAAATGTGTTGCAATGGTAGAAAAAAATGTTGTGTCTGAAAACTGTAGGTACTGGGGGGATCTAGGTAGACAGAGGGATAGAAAAGGATACTTATAAAAAAGGCTCAGAAACACGGCTCTAGACGACACGCGGCCCCTTGCAGCTCCGGCCTCCCAGCGGCAGGGGGAGCAGCCTGCGTCCCGCACCTCTCTCGGAGCTCTTCCCCGCGCACTCTATGGCTCCTCAGGCGCCGCTCTGCCCCGCGCGCTCTACGGTCGAGGTCCGGTTCCGGTTCCGCTCCCCTCCCCCGCTTTGTGCTGGGAGAAGATGGCGGCGCGGGCGGG